CATTAAATCTACATCATCTAGATACCCCCCATCATCCAGAGTCCCAGAAGACATAACAAAGACCTAGACTTCAAAGACCAGCAGTACGCGCTTATCTATGAGCTACATGTGCTCCAGAGAGGGTTCAGGGGACAATAACCTGTCTGCTGCTTCAGTGGAATAGAGGCTTGTGCATTACAGTAATCCTCGCTAGGTAGAGGTAGAAAGCCTGTTAAATCAGCGGTCTCCTCACCTGCAAGAAACACGTGGCACTGCAACAAGTGCCATGACAACACTCAAATCCAAGAGACAGTGTTTCACTTTTGGTTGAAGTGAGATGCTCAGCTGATGCACAAGTTCAAAGCCTATCATCAAAGCAAGAGTACAAAGAAAAAGGTAGGTCTTTACCAAGAGGTTACTGAAGAAAACAGGTTTAGAAGGAAAACAATGTTTTCCCTTGGTCAGGGGTTGGGAAATCTTTTCTAGACGAGCAGTGCAAAATCAGAAAGGGTACATTACTTATTTCCTTATAACAAGTCAGAATGAGAACAGACACCAAGCCTTGCCATATGCTTATTTATGACAAGAGCCCAGCTACCCGATGACTTGAAGTCATGGAAACTTAAAGGTATTTTCAGTTCAGTAAAGGTAATCCTTCCTTACTGGGAACGCAGAGCTGGGACACTCTGCCCTTTCCCATGCCCATGAACTTCCAGCTAGCATCGCAGGCCAACCTCTCCAGCCACTGGAGACCTCAAGTGCAGCATGCAGTTTAACAGTCTATACTTAAGAATGGGGGTATCAACCACTAATGGAATAGAAAACAAAAATACCCACACAATTTGTGCCAATTTTCTTACAAAAAAAATAAAAAAATATGCAGAATTTAAATTAAAAAATTGACAATCTCACCTGTGTAATAGAAAAGGTTCCTAAAGAAAAGGGGAAACTATACCAGCACAGGCTGCAAACAGAGAAATCCATAACAAAGCTAACAGAAAATGCTCAAACCCAAAAGGCCTTCAGAAAAATTTAAAGCATGAGAGAGCCTTTAGCATTACAGTTCCCACTCCAGGATTAAGTTTCCTTGTTTCACTGCATTAGAATTAATCTACATGGCTATGAACTCCGGAGTCAACTTGCAGAGCCACAGCAGCTTCGTTATGCAACCAGCGACACTGATCACCCAGGCTGTGTTACTGGAGCCTGCTTGCTCCCCTTCACCAACCCCCAAACCAGCAAAGCTGCTGCTGCTGCTCCTCAAATCGTTCTCTTGACAACAGATGCTTCAGTAATCCAGACATTCAGGTTTGGATTTGATGTTTTCTTGCGAGCTGATGGTAAGACTTAAAAGGCCATTTACTGCTGTGCAAGAAGTCCTTAATATCATCAAGGGAGGGGAGGCAGCTACACAGGAGGAGAGCAGCAGAAGGCTTTAAGTCAGAATATGATTACTGCAGAAAAATTATCTGACAAATGAACACAGCCCCAGACTGTTGCAAGGAATGCTTTTAAGCAATTTAAGCAAAACCAATACATCTGCTGTCTATTCAAAGGTCAATGAGTGCTTGTTTCATGATAACACACTCCCAAGAACATCCTTCCATGAACTCTTTAACTTTTGATCTTCAGCATCTCATATCCCTTGTTGTAAAGGCAGCTACCCTCTGAGGTCAGGGCAATGCAGTTAAGCTGCTGTACAACATTACATATGTGTGTGGCCATCTTGAACTCTGCTAAGCCAAAGGAACTAAAACAAATTAACAAATTGAAGCCGCAAACACAAAAGTCAGGTCAAAAGTCTGCTTTGTTTACTGGTTGAAGGATGTTTCTCTGTATCTACCCATTGCTCTTTAAATTAACCTCTCACATTTAAATTAACCTAGCTTCAGCCCATGGATCTGTTCCTCTGTTTAAAACAAAAAGCCAAACCACACTGCTTTCTAAAGTATTTCTAATACCTTTTACTCCTAGGATAAACGGGAACTGTTTAGATGCCCCAGCCTTTCTGCCTGTGTGCATGTTAGCCTGCTGTGTATATAGGACACTGCGAGTATGTTCAGAAAAGCAAAATGGTGTTTTCAAAACCAGAGACCGTGGCAAAACAAGGCAGCAGAGCCACTGCAGCTCTGTTCCAAGATGACAGCAGAGAACACAGATGTTAGAGCACACAGATTCACTCCACAATCATTTTAATTACATGCCTAGCCAACCAAGCACAGGCTAAGCAGCATTAATGGAAAAAAAAAGGCAGCGCACGAGTATTCTGAGAGCATCTTCCTGTGCACTTGATGCTAACGCCGCTCTCGTGCATTAAGTCATCTGTTTTCCAGCAGGCAGGCAGTCGGTTTTGGAATGCGCTGCTGGCCTCTCCGCAGGTCGTGGCAGTGCGGGGCTGGCCGAAGAGCGGTCACTGCTGCTGCATGGGGCAGAGCGGGTATCCTCAGCGGTGATGGGTTATGACCCAGCCAGAAGGATGTGGCCGGAACAGTGGCTTCGCCTGGGCACCATGGCTTGGCAGCAGTGCAGGAACCTCGCGAGGGCACTTGGCCAGGGCTGCCCTCCTGCTTCCCCTTCCAGGGGATCCTTTCACCATCTCCCAAGAACAACTTGGGTTTTCTAGCATGCTGGAAGCGGCCTGGGGCTCCTGCCCACCCCGCTGGGGTTGACAGCTTCCTGCCCCCGGCCCAGGCCAGCAAGACCCCCAACCCCAGCCCAGAGGGGAGGCAGCCGCCTCATGAGGTGGCCGCGCACCACACGGAACAGTGCGGGCCGGCACCCACCCGAGCGCCCCAAAGCCCCTCCACAGCCCAGCGGGCCGAGTCCCCTGCCCTGCACAGCGAACACCCCCCCACAGGACACAGACACCCCCCCCATCCCGTATGGGGACCTACCTGCTGGTACTCGGCGTCGTGCGGTCGGAAGTCAGCGGAGGTGAGCTCCCAGCGCAGGCTGAGGTGCGGCAGGCGGTGCAGCAGGCTCACCCACCAGGGCGGCGAGTAGCTGACTCCCGCCATGCCCGCCGCGCCTGGCCTCACCTCACCCCGACCCGCCGGCCATGGAGCGCCGCTGTCCGCCTGGCTCCCTCCTCACCGGCGGCCCCTCATGGCCGGCACCCCCCGCCTCCTGCCTGCCTCCTCCCTCCCGCCGCGCCGCTCGCTCCCTCTTTGTTCGCAGAGAGGCTCCGCCGCCTCCGCGCCCAGCACCGCCCGCCCGCTCCCATTGGCGCCGCTCTGCCCCGCCCCGCCCGCCCTCCGCGGCCCCTCACCGCGGCCCCGGGCCCACGGCTCAGGTGGCCTTGGGAGAAGCCGGGCCGGGTTCTGGCCCCAGCGCACCGGGGTGGCCACCGCGACTCGTGCCGTAACATGGCGCCTTGGCGCATGGGGGTGCGTTGCAGAGGCCCTCACGGCATCAAACCTACAGCAGCATCAACGGCTGTCCCATTAGCTCAGATCAGCACCTTCCCCTCCAAAATAACCCCAAAATGGACCCAATCGCTTAGAATCACAGAATCAACTGCGTTGGGAAAGACATTCAAGATCATCGAGTGCAACCGCTACCCCAGCACTGCCAAGGCCACCACTAACCTATGTCACTAAGGGCCTTGTCTACTCGGTACTCTCTACTTGCAGACGATTCCACCTGGGCAGCCTGTTCCAATGCCTGACCACCCTCTCAGTGAAGACATTGTTCCTCATATCCAGTCTAAACCTCCCCTGGTGCAGCTTCAGGCTGATTCCTCTTATCACTGGTTACTTGGGAGAAGAGACGAACCCCACCTCACTACAACCTCCTTTCAAGTAGTTGTGTAGAGCAATGAGGTCTCCTCTGAGCCTTCTCCAGACTAATCCCCCCCAGGTCCCTCAGCCCTTCCCCATCACACTTGTGCTTCAGGCCCTGCATCAGCTCCACAGCCCTTCTCTGGCCCTGCTCCAGCACCTCAGTATCTCTCTTGTAGTGATGGGCCCAGGCTTGGCACCTTGATGCCCTTGGTGCTGTTCCTGGCACATTCTATCCTCATCCCAGATTTTGGGAACACCTCACATATGTGTAAGATCAGCAGCAAATACAACTTGCTTTGCTCCCAATCTTTCATTGGTTTTATATTCACCAGAAAAGGACTGCAAGGAAGAAAGTTTGAATGCTTATGGCTCTCTATCCTTTCTGGTACAAATTCTTCCAGAACTTCTTCACTTATCAAGAAGTCATCACAATCTGCAATAAAGTTCAGCTTTAGAGACTTCATAGCTAGACAGTGACTGCTCTATGAGTATGCACACTATTGCATTTACCAGAGTAGCTTCATCTTACACTCTTCCTTGGGTCTTAGAAGCATTTCTTCAGAAGCACAAAGCATTTAGTTTGGGGTTTTTTTGCTTTAGTGATTCTTTGTCCTTGGGTACAATGACTACTGTAGTAAAGCCCAGGCAAAACAGGATGCTGCAGCACTTTTTTTCTGAGTACTATCACTAGGCATAACTAAAATCACTTAAAACTCTGTCTTCATAAGCAAGTACTATCTACTTCTTCACAAAGTAGAATAGCCTCTGAATATGGAATAAAGTTGCTTAAATAATTTTCCTTCACTGAAGGGTAACCTTTGCATTCACAATCCCTGCAAATCTGGCTTATTCCCATCTGCTATCTTAGAGAAACAGCCTCAGTTGCTTCCAGCATGCTCTGTTTCTGAGCAAGTCTACAGGGACTGTCAGCTTTTCATTGACAAAAAGCAAGTCGATGTTTCTCAAGTCACCCTCAAAACTGCTCTTTTTTCTCCAGCTAGTCTGTAAAAGCCTGAAATATCCCACTCTGGATATAACCAACCTGTTTCACTTCGGTTTTAACATCTTTGAAGCTGCATGTCTAAGGCTGTGTTACCTGCAGCATTGTTTTGCCTTTCATACTGAGTACTTCCAACATCCTCTTAAAAGGCTCTTCGGCTTTAATTCCACCTTCTCACAAAGAGCAATGAGGAATACAAGAAGTAAACCAAATGGCGTAAGAGCCACAGAAAAGAGAGAGACATTTTCCCAGTTTGCATTATAGTAGTACTAGTTGGCAAAGTTATCCAGGACTTAGTTTTTCCCTTTACTGCAGCATCTGAAGACCGCTGAAAACAATGTTACACATGGCTGACTAGGATGGTTCTTTTTACCAGATGTCTGTCCCCTTCGGAAACTAAGTCAGGATGGTGAAAACATTCTCAGCTTGTCTATGGCTTCAGGCCCGAAGCACAGTGGAAAGTACCATACTACAGCTACAGGGCTGGGGGGATTAAAAACAGAGAAGAGAGGCAATCCAGGGGAACATCATGTTCCTTGAATAATTACCACTCACATCAGAGAGAGACCCTCCAAACCACAGTTGTGACAAAAAGGCAAAGCACTTGTGAGGAAGCTGGTACTGATACTGCCAAAGATTTTTTTATGTAAGGGACTGCACTTGCCAGTATAAGCAACATGTCATCAAGTTAAAAGAAGACACAGAGTCCAATTATGCATCTGCATGTGCAGATGTTCTCTATAAAATTGTGTGCATCCACTCAAAACACACATTACTTTCGAACACAGAGGGAAATTAAATTACCAGGAAGAGACAACATGACGTTTGAAGGTCATCTCTGGACTCCTGCTAAAACCGGTTTCTTCTCTGGACTGTCAACTGCAGAAATCTCCTTTCTCACGTAGTGCACTGGACACAGAGGGCAGAAAGACATACTGCATTGCATGAGGCACAGAGCAGTAACTGCAGCCTGTCTTCAGAGGGCATGCTGAAAAGTTTGTGCTGCTAGCCTCTAAGAAACAAAACCTTATCACTTGCAGAAGTGAACTCCAGACACTAAAGTGAGGTGACAGCTTAACTCTGTAACCATGGCAGCCAACATTAAAAACTTTCTGAGGAGTAAACCCTGGAGAGAAAGGAGTATTTTTCAAGACAAAGTCACCATAAACCTAAGCAGTAAGCAAATCACTGTATTCTTCCTGAGCTAAATCACTAGATTCTAGCTCTTCCCTGTTCTTCCTCCAAATAACCCTTAACTTTTACATGTCAGAGCTTCAGATCCCCTTACATTAAGCAAGTGTATTAGCTATCAGTTTGATAACAATGGTATTTTGATTTTTTTTTTCCAAGCACTAATTATTTTACTTTACTTTTTCCTCACTTATATAGAAGACAGAATGCAACAGGACATAGGAAGACCACTACTGCCACTAGAAACCCTTTTAGTTGCATATCCTTTGATTTTTTTTACAAGTAAGCTCTCCCTTTGTTGGAATAATGGTCTTGTTTGCCTTTTCTGCCAAGAAACCCACACTAAAATTCTATTAAATAACTACCCCTCCCCTGCAATAAAACCAATTTTGCTACTGCGAGTTGCCGAAGTATCTGCTCCTCACTTACCTCTCCGCAAGCTGTTCTTTACGTGCTAAGTGAGCCCTGAAAACAGACTGGATGAATGGCAGCATCTCATCTTTCTCTATGCAATCAGAAGACGAGCTCAAGGAGTTTGACATGGAAGACCTGCAGGAGTTCTGCAAAGCAATCAGATAAAAGAAAACTGACCTTTACAGATTGCACAGAAGCTTGACAGAAGCTTTCACAATCTTTCTTCCGATTATGAAAATGGTAGTTCAGCAAATATTCCCATCTTTCGGTCTGCAGTCTCTAAGGTTCTATGAGTCTAAATCAGCAGGAAATGCAAATCTGATCATCACACAAGCTTTGAAACATCTGTATTCAATTAATGAAAGTGCAAACACCTGCAAGGGAAGTTCATTCATTTTCCAGGAAGGAAACCTTTTGAAGTCAAAGGAGTTAAGACAACCTTCGTTACTGATAGATGTATCTTCTGCTTGTATCAAGCAAAAGTATTCAATCCTACTACTGAACCATTGGGCCAGTTTACCAAAAGAAAAGTGCATGTAAAGTGCAACCAGACAGAAAACCTGTATGGAGAATTACAAATTAGCCTGCTAAAGTTCTAAAGGATGTTCATCTAAGTTGGCAAATGACTTTGAGAAACAAAATGTTTAATTGGTAAGAAAATGTTTTCATATTCAGAACTGAACAATCTAGAGCGAGTTTGACATGACAGAGGATGCAACTCTTTCGTTGAGCGTGGCATATGCAAGACTTCTTTACTTTTCAATCCCATCAAAGATGCTTTCCAGATTCTTCTTGCTGAACTTCAGCAACCAAGGTTTATCTATTATTACAATGATCCAGCAGTGAACACTTGAGAGCAAGTACAGTGTTCAACAGCACCCCAAATTAAAGAGTTAAAGGGTATGTTATTACCTGACGGAACAACCATTAAAAAAAGAAAAGAAAAAAGAGGAGTTACAGTCCATAATGCAGAGAAATTGTAGCTTTAATCCAAAGAAAAACTGAACTAAAGAAGATGGAATGGGAGGCTATGGAATGAGCTTGGTATTTTTCTAGGATGACAGCTATGCTGCCAACCAGTGCATTAAAACAACATCACTGGAAGATTGAGAGAATTAAGTCTGGAAGTAAAGTACTTTACACTAGAGACTAAACATAATGGGATTCCTGGGTACCCATTTGCCCCAACAATTACCTTGTTATGAGAATTTGCCTCATGCGTCCTCTTCTTCAGTAACAGTTTCTGTCGACTTAAATGTCCTCTGAAAGCTGCCTGAACTGCAGTAATTGCCTATCACGGAAATAAATAAGTAGGTATTAGCTCCTTTAAAAGATGGCAGTTATAAATAAAACCAAAAGAGTCCAGAAGGAAGAGGCACAGGGAGAAAATAACTTTTCCCTGTGCAACAGAAACTCTTTGATGTCTTTATATTTGATTATGCTTAAGGGATACACACGTCTCCATTACTTCACAGGTACACTGCTGCAATCCAGAGAATGCCCAGCCTGTGACAACCCATAGACTTACACCTCCATGGATTAAATTCAATCTGGGAGGTGTTCAGGACTCAGCCTATCAAATGCAGTTAAGTTCTAGCTGTCAGGACTAGCCTGTATTTCACAAGGAGAGCAACATGCTCCCATTCCCATATTAAGATAGCCCAGTAGGCTCAGTGATGCCCTGGCACAAGCAGAAACCCAGCCAAGACAGCAGACCACTGTGGTGATTACACTGAACATAGTAAGTCTTTCTTCTCAGAGATTTTACTGGATTCTAATGAACAAACAGCATCTAGATGTAAACCCGCAAGCCTGCATCACACAGTTTTAGAATTTGTTCTATAATACTCAGAGAGTATTATAGCAAAGGCTTCACATTCCTACTTCAAATGTTTCTGAAGACTCATCATAGTGAAAATTAAAGCGTTATTAGAATTATCTATTTTAGACAAAATCCTGTCTGTTGGTATCAAATTTTGATCAAAATTTGTTCATCTTGCAGAAGGTACTAAGTACAGAAAATCTGAGACCAAAAGGGGAACACTTTGACAAGATACATCAAACAAAACCAGGATGTTAGAAGGAAGATCACGAGCCAGCCTGAAGAACAAACATGATCTCAGTACAACAGGTTGTACTGCAGTGAAACTTCTTTAAAATAAAAAAGTTATTTCTACGTGTTTTGATATGAATTACATCTGTTTTGCTGTTTTGTTGGCTGTCATAAGTACACTCACCTTGTCCAGATCACTTACATCTCGCTGAAATAGAAAATGACAAAGTTAAAATTTATATATATTTGTGCCATCCAGTTTTTCCCCAACAATTACAACACAGAAAATACCTGTCCTTCCTCCCCCTAAAAACTTCAACAAACTTAAGGGAACAAAATACCCAAGCTTTTCATCTTTGGAAGATGTGTGGATAGTACTTTTGTCTTTATTTTCCTAAGAAGCAACTACAAGACCCACCTCACATCATAGGTCCTACGCATGGAAAAAGCAACATTATGTTTCTGCCCATAAAACAAAATTTAAGGTTAATGCTTTTTCTTGTCATAGTTGAATGTAACTCCTACACTGTTTGGAGGATTTCTGCAAGGGGTATTTAATTTCTCAGTCATACTCCAAGGAGGCCAACAGCAGTGATGCTGCTTCAAGCACTGGTAGGCTTCCTTAGTTTCCCTGCTCACCCAGACTTCCCCATTCAGAAAACAGCTATCTTGCAATAGAAACAACAGGGTTCTAGAGATCAAAGGCAAAAGCAGCAGCAGGCAGGACTTGAACAAAGCAGTGGAAGAGAAGATGGTGGTAAGGAGTTGTATTGGGAAGCACTGCTGCAGTTCCTGAAGCCTGGCAGCAGGTTACTGTACCCACTAAAACAAGAGCAAGATTCAGAGGGGAGGATCCTCACTATTTCCCAGTAGGAGAATCTCACCTTGTCCTGATACTTCCTCCAGTACCTCTGGATGATTCTGGCTGCTTCTTCTCTCCTTTGATGATCTTTGCCTTGCAGTGAAAACTGCAAAAAAGAATCTTTAAGTTGGTACACTAAAGACACAAGCTGGAATTCTACGAGGGAAACAAGTTACAAATAAATCAGCACCAGAGTTGTTAAATGTTCATCCTACCTGCAGGGCAGAAGGAAGTTAGAGAGGAAACTCTTAGTTTGGAATACTGGTCTTGTTCAAAATCATCATCCAAATGCCTGTTACACCAAAACACATAGCTGTCCCCATTTTAGCTGTTAGCAGAGCATGGGAATGGAAAGCTTTTCATTTACACATATTCCTATTTTTATATGCATTGGTAAAGCAGTAAGAGCTCCAACAGAGGAACCCACTGCTTTGTTGATCAGAAATAGCTTGTATATTATCAACAGACTGAGAACAAATGTCAGGGTACCAGATTTTGCAATTCTTCTCCAGGAAAGACTGGTGCTAATTAACTGGGGAGCTCTCTGATGTCTCATCCTGGCAACTGTGGACCCATAATCATCTGTTTAAGCTTACTGATGGGTTTGCCACCATATGACTCCAACAAGACAGAAAGCTTGTGTAAATTGGCATAACTCTACTCTTCTATCTTGAAGAAAAAAATTAGAGGTAAAAGAAATCAAGAACAAAACAAGATTTTGTTCCAGTTATATCTTCTGAGGTGTGGTTGCATACTCCACCTCTCAACAGTTGATCCTTTTGATCCCTAATTATCCCATACTAATTGTCATTCCTCACTTGCCAAACAAAAGTTAGCTGCACTTTTAAAAGACTAATTTAATTTGTTGGTATAAAATTGTAAGTAGAGGACTAAGAGCCTTGGTAGACTCAGAAAAAACCCTCTTGATTCTGTGAAAATGATTTATTTATAACCTAAAAACACTGAGTTACAGGCTTAAGTTTAGCAAATGGATCATGTTATATTAAAAATGACAACCTACTATTAAAATGAAAAATTGGTAGGAACTTAGTGATAATTACAAATAATGGGAACATTTCAATAAAAGGATGGTTACTGGCCAAGAATATATATAGTCTGCAGAAGGAAAAAAGGAACTGTTTGTTGGCTGTTTTTAAAGGCTCAAGTTATTTGATATTCAAAACATCATCTAGCATCCATGAGCCTATAACTCACAAAAAAGAATCTAAGGAGTTGCACAGTATATAAAAAACTAGCATCCTCTTAAGCTAGTGGACATTTTTATTCATATTTTTTACTACCCATATTTCAGGGTCTATTTATTTTTAAGTACAAGTCATCAAAATCCCCAGTAATAATTTTCAATTTTCAGTTTTTAGTGGAATTAGATTAATATGTCCATACCGCATGTGAAAAAACCATGTCAGACAGTGGCCACTCATCCATACTGGCCAGTGACAACAACATTTGTTAGAGGGACAGAAGATTGCAAATACACCAAGTTAAATCATATGGCACCAAAAAAACCGCAAGTGATGAGAACTCCATTTAAGACTGTTTAGGAATAACAGGTACCCAAATATATTACTGGATAATATCCAGACAGAAGAGGTTATGAATAACTCAGCTCCAGAAAAACTTCATTTCCAAGGGGGGTAAGGGTTTATTTTATTTCCTGATATCCATCCTTCCTAATTCTTAGTCAAAGATGGAGTCCCATCATCAGCGGAATTGAGAAAACCTCTATTTTTATGATTAGTGCTCTACATCCTGTAACCCTTCCCATAGAAAAGTACCCTGATTGCATCCAAAGAGAAAAGCTAATGAATATTTTATGAATTGCCCTAATTGAGCACTTGACCAGCATAAAAATCACTGAAAAGGGTCTTCTGTCTTTTGCCAGTCTGCCAGTGACTTATCACACTTACCTGTGCCTCTGTCCTTTACCTATCAACACCTCCCTCCCTCTCCAAAACTTGACTGAAATTAGCTAATGTGTTCAGATGTTATAAGAAGATGTAAGGAAAACCACAAATGTCTTTCTTTTTAAGTAAGTCAAAACCCCCAAGCACTAAAAAGCAGAAGCTTTTTGCAACATTCCACTGAATAAGGAAAAAACAAAGGCAGACACTCACCAAGAGAACAGCTCCAAAAAAAAAATAATTGCAGTGGCAATTATTGAAACAACTTATCAACAAATGCTGGGAATTAATCATCATTTCAAATCTCTATGACAAGATTTAATATCTCTCTGAAAAAACACAGCTAGCAGCTATTTAGACTATCAGCTCAATTTGCAATCTATTGCTTGGATGCAAAGGGAAAAAACAACACACCACCACCACCCCCCAAACAAAAACATGTCTGTACCTTAAGACCCTTTTCCACTTTATCTTCTGCCATTTGACTCTTCTCTTCCTCTTCTTTTGGCTCCAGTTTCCCTAATTTCTGTGTCAGGTTCTGGATTTCCACTCTAAGGTTGGAAAAGCAAAAATATTTATAGGTGGAAATTAGCTGTTGTTCCTGCTTTGAAAATATTCAGCCTAATTCAGGAGATTTGGCTGCCTTCTTTGTTTGTTTGTTTGGGGTTTTTACGGCCAAAGTGTGAAACTGCTCAGAATAAAATGATGCATCTTCTCATAGTAACAGACATAGAATCGTAGAATAGTTAGGGTTGGAAAGGACCTTAAGATCATCTAGTTCAACCCCCCCTGCCATGGGCAGGGACACCTCACACTATGTGACAGCAGTTCTCAAGTTGTGATAGCACAGCCTTACATTAGCATCAGAAAATTCCAGTGTTACAATGGTACCCTTGATACTTTCAATAATGCATCTAGATCTGCTACAGTTTCATATTTGTCACAGTCCTTTCCTGCAAAGTAATAATGAAATCACTTCTTTTAGCCACTCTTGCACAAGATCATTATCAAGTTATACAAAATACATGATGTATTACATTCCTAGTTACAAATTACATGAAGTAAATGGAATGACATACTAGCAATGGTCTAGAAGCATAGGCTAAGATAAGGTAAAGATACTACAGTTCTTTCTTAGAAAGAAAATATGTCTCTGAGGCCAACATGGCAGCTCTCTTTTTCCATTTATCTTCTTAATTTTTATTATAATTCAATAATTATTTTTATTTTTCTTGTACTACTTGGTCTTCCAATTCCCTTCAAAGCACTGTAGAATTCTTCCCCTAGTGACTTACTCCATCCTTCCAAACCAGTTCTGCTTACATGAATTCCCAGATTCCTGCAGTTCAGATGAACCCATATAGATTTTTAGCCACTTCAAATGATAATTATACTTTTGACAGGTATTTTTTGTAGTTCTGAAAGGATCTACCAATACAAAAATGTGATTCCATAGAGTCTGCTCTCCTGCACTCTTTTCTGACACTTCTCCTGTATATCTTATTCTGACACTTCTGCAGCCCACTTCAACCTTAGCCTCCAGTAACTGCTTGATATCTAATCTACAAAGGTATTACGGAGATCTAAGCAGTACTTAGGACATCCATACTTCAACAAAGTTATTGTTTGATTAAACTCCTACATAAAATAGATTTTCTCAATTTGTAAAGTAACTAAATGTTTCATTTTCCCCTTTAAACAAACCAAAATGCAAGCATACATTGTTCAGAAGCAAAGGTCCTCTCCACACATTCATTCTTGATCAGAGGCAAGTTACAGAGGCAGCATCTTATCAACAACACATAGTTGTGTGCACATCTCTGCTCACGTGAGAGATTAACCTGCCTGCCCTTATGCACTGACACATCAAATGAGTCCAAGCAATACAAACTGCAAATCGATTGCTTACTGGGGAGAAAAGAAGTCCCACTGCATCACATGGCAGAAGGCAGGCTTAAAGGGAGAAAGTGGTAGATCAGGACAAAATGTTGAAAAATAAGACAAAGTTTTTACAGCAAAATTCTTGCTGTGGTAAAGTGACATATAATCCTTAAAAGGCCTTTTAGTGTGGTTGGCAAAAAATATGCCTTGAAAGAATATGTTAGAAACAAGCAGAAATTCTCATTTTCCAGCCTCTTTTTCCTGCAATGTAATTTTACAGGGCTAGTAGGACTAGAAGTAGTTTTTGATATAAAAGCTGAAGGGATGCTCCAAATTCATTTTCTTACTGAAAATGTGAAGAACTTGTTACATCATTTCACAACGTGATAGGAAACACTAATTGATACATACTAAAGAGCAATATCTTAGACAAAAGTCACACTTACTCTTTACTGAGTAAAAAACTTCGAAGTGCCCTCTTATCTCTCTGGAGTTGCTTCACTAGCCCTTGGAGGCGATGACATTCCTCAACATAGTCCACCTGTTGAGAGACTAGATGACCCAGGTCTTCGGAAGTTGAACATGGTGGAGTGAATACCTCTGACTCACAGGTATCTGCTGATGGCACCCTGGCGTTCTCCATGGCACTTATTTTCTAAACAGGATAAAATTTACATGGAGAAAAATAAAAAGGGAAAAAATATTAAATTTAACATAAAATTATTTATTTAGGCCATGAGAAAAGATGAAGTGGAAGTTAATTCTAAAATGTGCATCTACATGTAATAAGTATGAGAAAAGTAAAAAAGGAGAAGGAGCACATGGTACAGACATCAGTTTACACGTATGAGGCAGAACACACAAGGCTGATGGTCTGAGGGACTACATGCCATGAGCACAAGCCAGTGGTTCCGCATCTTTTGCTCAAAGACAGGCAAGATTACGATTATGATCACTTACACTTTCTAGTTCTGAAATCCGCTTCACCAGCCTGGGTTTGCTCCACTCACTGTAATCTAAATACAATAACAAAGCTTTAAACATGAAACTGTAGCAGTGAGTCAACATTGTTCTTGCTTTTCTGACACTTGTGTTCATATAGAAAGACCATCTAAAGGTCTCTGAACCCCGACTGTAAATGTGCACCAATGAAAAAATGAGAATGGTCTTAAAATATCTGACTTCTACATCAATTAGTTATCAATATAAACCATTCAGATTCAGCAGTTTCAGAAACTTGTATTTTCAAGTGATTCCAGTCCAGAATTCTCAGGGTTAACAATAAAGGAAACCCAGGTCTGACTGGAGCAGCACATCCAGAAGTCACAGACTCCTGTAAGAAACTTATTCCAGCCTTTTCCCCTCCTGAATCCTCACTCTTGTAATAACTCCCTTATTTGTACCACTGTAGTGTCCTGCTCTCAAACACATCTTTCAAATGTACCTAAATCCCTTGCCCCACGTTCACCAACTTTTCAGCACACGTACTTTCTGTTTCACTGGAAGGAGGAGAACTGCACAGTACATGATCTAAATCTTCTTTCAGCCTCCGATTCTCAGCCTGCAAATTTTTGATGGTCCTGGATAATCTCAGGACAGCAGCATTCAGTGCCTTTAGGTGTTTTTGGGTCTCTCTGCTCTCTGTACTTCGAAATGGAATCAAAACCAGAAAGTTAACTTAAAAGCAGAGAACAAAGCAGCAGCATTAAAAACGGTGAAACAGCCTCACTGCGTTACTGTCTCAGCTCCCCTCCAACAGCATTTCTCAACATTTTTTACTTGAGTTACCTATTCTGTTAGGAAAAAACATTCAAAGACCATCTTGCTCAACACTTCCACAACTGTTCTGTGTCAAAGAAAACAGATACTTCGAAAGTTCATTACTTCTACTTCCTCTCCCCCCCTCTGTTTCATTAACACATAATCAAGGGTGCTTGTATGGGTTTTACTCATTTGGGTTTCTATTTGTTTTGTTAACCAACCTTATAATGCTTTACTGGTGCTCTACAGACAACTGATTTAAAATCATTTACATTCAGCCAACCGGGAGACTCTTCCAAACAAGTGTTCAGCATGGAAAGCTAACCTGCGTGCTCTGAATTGCTTTCTTTCACTTAACAGATTTGTACTGGGAGAGAGAGAGGGCTATAGATGGAATAACTCTCAAATCCAACACAAGTGTATTTTGAGATGTGAATGCTGTTCTAGGGTAAAAGAGACTATTCCTGTGAAAGTAAACCCCAGAGAGATCTCTTTCTTCATTTAAGATACATTTCAATCAATGTGAGATTTGAAACACATTTGAAGAATACAGCTATCATCAAGTGATGGGAGTAAAAGGCATTAGAAAAGGGAAAACCTGTTATGTGTTAAAGTCATTTAAAACACATTAGAGTGGTTTTGCCTTTTTAATTTTTCTAATAAATGGGGAAGAAATCTCAGTTTTATAGATGTGAAAAAAGTTGTAAGGTTTGTTGACAAAGTAGATTTCTAGTGAGATGAAATACTTTATTGCTATGAGAAAGTTCTTAAAAACTTACTTATGGAAGCAAAGGTTTGAAGTAACTGATGGAACCACTTCTGGACAAAAGACAATGACAGAATAGTGTGCAAAGAAATCTCACATGACATACACTGGAATAATTACAAGGTAAAGGGAGAAACAAGTTTACAGGTACCATATCAGGTTGAAAAGCTGAACCTAATCTTCCTTTGGGATATGAAAAGGAAATTAACAAATAAGGCTGTCCACATGTCATGGATGACTATTCATGAGCTGTCCCAGGCAGAAGGTAAAAAAACTCCAAAACTAAAACCCAGCACACAACACAACCAAAAATTGGAAGTGACAGAAATGATAGGAATCGTCACTGTATCAGTGAGTGACATTATTTGATGCTCATCAAAACCTTAACGAAAGGATTGCAGACCATTTTGAGGACTGGAAAGGTCACCTAGTTTTTAGGTACAGTTGGATACTACAGCTTCATATATAAGTCATCATATTTCAGCATTAACACTGAAAAAGAAAAGCTAAATGTGATTTACTTCAGCCAGAAATAATGTAGACAAGCATAGTGGAAGAAACACTCTCCTACAACTGTATGTGCCAGAGCCCTGAACTTCAACATCATTTATTATTTCAGCTCTCAGCCTCTCAAGTAGAGACTGACAGTCACATAATGGAGAGAGACTGCCCTGACCACTGCTTTTCGAAGCTACGAATAAATTAAGGACAAGGAAGAGACCTGATGACTCATTTCCACCCGTAAATAAATGAGGTGTGATGGCTTACAGCCTCCAGAGGCCAGCCACTGCATGCCTGAGCCAAAAGAGATCTTACCTTCTTCAAAACAGTGACAAAACAAATTGCACTTTCCAATCCACAAGACACAGTGAATTAGGGAAACACAAGTAGTTATACATCATGATCCATAAAGAGTTCTCATGTGTTTTTAACAACCTAAATAATTATAACCCAAATTAAGACAGTTGTCTGTATGTAACACCAGGAGGACAAGCACATTTTGAAGTGGTGTGGTAAAAAATTTTCCAACCCTACAAGACTCTATTACCCTCTTCTCAGCAAGAATAACACTCCCTCGCATAGATGCTTTTAATTTTCTGTCTTACTGGAGCTTTGTCTTTTGCTGTTGTGCTTTTGATTTTTATTTCCTCTGTAGACTATTTATTCCCATCACCATGTATAAATAAACATAGTAGTGACAAGCACTAGCACAAGCTTGACAGTTTCCTACTAGCGCTGCTCATGGACAACTCATAAGAGCTGCCCTGACCTCTAGATCTGTCTCTGCACCACAGGAAAATGTTTACTCCGAAATACCTTCTTTTGCAGCATATACTTTAAAGCAAGATGCAGACCTGACTCAAGAATAAAACACTAAACATCTAGTGAGTTTGTTGCAATCACCAGTGATATCAGAATACATGTGATTATGGGGGAAGATGGGTTTTATTTAACAGATACATTTTCAAAGCTTTCCTGTACTTCTCAAATAGCTCTTTTTCTCCCCACATCCACAAAATTACCTAGAAGAAAAAGACGTGACTAAGACATATGCCAAGGCTGTGAAGCCAACCGAAGCAGTACCAAAAAGCAAATCCAGCAATCTAAATGACAAAATAAGCTGTTCCCATGTAGTTGGTTTCCACCATAAAATAATACATGATCTATCAAACAAATATATGCAAACATTTTCCTCAAAAGAATTTAACGTACTTTTTCCTAGTAGCCTCAGATTTCTCCAGAAGCTGTTGGAGACGATGAACCTGTGAAATATGAAATACACATTCCATTAAGGAGCTAGCTGTGGAAGCTGACATTGCTAATGCCACACATTTGTCCATTAGGTGAAAATCAGAACAAGATTCTTTGGGCAGCAATAGAGGCAGTGATGCCAGGCTACTGTTATACTGGCTTTCATCTAGATACTACGCTTACGGGATATACATTAGTTTCTTTATTTCCCCTTTTTTGCTAACACACTCAGCTTCCTGAGGAAAAATAATTGGAGATACGAGAGTATCAAAGAAAATCTGATTCCACTTACAGGTGTAGCTGAGCTGTAAAAACTCTATCTAAACCAGTCCATTTATACTTTGACTCAACCACTGAAAAGCTTCCTCTCCTTATGCACATGGAAAGACATTTCAGACATACCTCTTCAGAGCAGGTTTCCATAGCTTTCATTTCTTGCAAATTAGTGGACGTCAGGTCTGCCTGGAATTCGCTAAAATAGAATAATCCAGTCAGACCAGCAGAGATGCTGCAATGCTTTTTGTCTTACAATTTCTGGGTGGGCTGTTTATAGTTACTAATATGTTCTCAGAGTTCATTAAAACATCTTAAGGGACAGAAGAATACAGATTAGAAATAACATGGACTTCAAATTGCCTTTATCATCTATCCAATACAAGCCCCTATCCTACTCCCTAGCCAAAAAAGTCATACTTAATAGTCTTGTATCTCTCCTTGCACAACTGTTGTAGCTTGAGAATCTTCTGCTTCAATCCATTAGCCACCTACAGAAAGAACAAAGCTCATGAGTACTACAATAACCCATCTCTTCACTGAAGTTCTATTTCTCCATAATCTTCCTCTGTCTTTATTAATTGTACCTAACTAGATACACTTATTCCTATATACTTCAGTACTTAGTAAATCATATGCATGTCTGCTACCCTCTGTGAAAGGCAACACTGATGAATTCAGATACCTAATTTAAGATGGTTATGTTACCACAGATATAACATTTACACAATCATTAAATAAAAAACATTTTGCCCATCACCCTGCTAAATTCAAAGAAGCCAGTGATAGGGAGAATGCTTCGTAAACACATTCAAGACAATGACAAAGAAAGGTCCCTAAAGTGATGTTAATTCCAGATCTTTGTTACTGCTTTCTTATCTGACTATAGAAATGATGGTAACATGATTCCCTAATTGCTTATTCTTTCTTACTTCACTTCATTATTTATTTAAATTGGTAGTGTTTCAGCTTGGCAAGAGGAACAAGGGAAAAAGGAAAGCTAAAGGTAATGAAGAAACTATTACCCATCCATTATTATTCACCCTTTCTGACAAAGCTTGTGCCATCTCAGAGGCCTGTAAAGTAAGACAGATAAAGCAAATGACCAACATTGCTACTTTATTGTATTGCCGACTCTTTCCACAGAATTTTCTATCCTACTCCTCTTCACATTTAACAGTCCCACAGCTTAAGTTCTGAGGCCCCTGTGCTCATTGTTTGACATTAGCACACTTCTCCCAAGATGTAGAACTGCACACAGAAAGTGAGAGCCACAAGGATTTCCATGAAATTCAGGTCTTCTGACCATGACCCTAAATGCTTCTCAGCCTTGTGGGCCTGACAATAAAGCTTACGTTTTACTTCCTGGCTCAGGTCTCAGGACTGCCTTCATCAGTCACCATGCAAGAGGTTAAATCCCTTTTACTCTCAGGAAAAATATGCAGAAAGCAGGCCTGTACAGAGACAGCATCTCATTTTTTCCTTCAGTATGTATCTTTGCTAAGTAAATTTGTTTGCACATTATGGCACGATCTTCCTTTGAACTGAGCTGGCAAGCTGAGATACACAAAACAGAGATCCCTTCATACCAACCAACCACCTCTCATATTCGAGCTCATCATTCCTAGAAAGAAACACACTACAGACTTCTGAAACCTGAAGTGACAAGAAGAGGATCACACTGCTCAGCACTCTTGCCCCACTTCTATCCTCCCCCAAGAAACAGTCACCTTGAAAGGATCCAACAGTTTTTCAATCTGTTTATCCTTTCTATTGATCACTTCCTCTAGTCGACGAAGCTTAGTTTTCATTTGATGTCTCTCAATTTTCTGAGCTTGTACTGTCTGAAAGAGGGGGCAAAAAATCATAAGCGTATTTCAGAAATAGAAATGCACTGAGTTTTCATATGGAAACACGTTTTGATGTCAAAAACAATCCAATTATGAGGTGAGGATGAAGAGTTAAAAAAAAAAAAAAAGAACTACAAAAGACATTACCACACTGGACCAGGGCTGACAGATAAGGGAGGTGACAGGGCAAAGATAAAAAGAAAAGGCTTAACAGAAAGACAGCCTTACACAAATTATCTACAACAGCCAAGATGTTTGCATATAGGTAACCCTAGTGTTCAACATGCCAAGTCCTCGTGCTTCAAGTTTCATGTTTCACTGCACTAAACTGAAAATGTATTAAAATGTGATGGGTCACAGTCAGGAAGGAGGTAAGATTAAAAAAAAAGGAGGTGGAGACAAAGAAACCAAACACAATGAACCTTTTCAGCATCCAGCTATGGCCATGGCTGGGGTTCAGCATTGGATATACCTCAAGGCTTCCACATCCAGTACTCAGAAGCATCTATCACACCATAAGAACAGTGAAATTGCCTTAAACAGACACAAGTTTAGTTTAGCCTTACATTACAAATGCAAAAAAAAAAAAAATTGGTGGGTGTCCCAGTAGTAGAAACCAAAGTAATCTGGATCAATAAGGTCTGGATGGAGCAACGCTGTGACTTTCTATGTAAGTATCAGAGAGACTGTACCTTTTTCAGCTCTATAATTTCATCATACATATCTTCTTTTTCTTTGTAGTTAGGATTTCCAGGAATATAGCCTACAGAAAAAGGTATGTAAAATAAGCAGATCCAAAAGAAGTACTTTTAATCAAAAACCTTAGAGAAAAACATCTAGAACAGCACTAAACTGGAAACTAGGCTTCCAGCATGAAAACTGACTTTAGAAATGGAGGTGAAATGCAAATGTTACTGTATAAAACTTCTGCCAGATTTTACAGCCAATTTTTCCTAACTTCTTCTCTATGGTGCTACATTGAAATATCCATCTCAAGAAAGATCTGCACTTCATAGAAGACTGCAGTCTTCTCATCCCAAAAAAACTGTTTACAAAAGACTTCTAAAAGATGGCCATAATCTATTTACCTATTTCTGCCTGACATGTAAATGTTTACCACCTTTTAAAGTTGCCAGAAGCTGTGTACCACCAGCAAAGTGTTGTTTCAAAAGGAAGTGAGATTTTTTTAAGCTTACAGTTCTCCTTTAAGAAAAGCAGGATAAAAGTTTTACATTTTGCTCTTCTCATAAAACTCAATTAATCTAGTATCACAACCACATGATAAAACAAGAGAAGTAAAAGGAGTCAATTACATAGAATTTGAGGCAAGCAGATGGTTTCTATCAATGGTTCCTAAACTATGTTTTACAAAGTCACAATAAATAGTCCACAGCTGGCCCACTGAACCATATTATATTTACAATGTTTTCAGCTGCAAATGCATGGCAATTTGCAGAAAGTTCTGAAACCTAACAGTGATTCATTGCTCCCAAAAATTTGGAACCCCCCATCTTATCCAATTTAGAAACCTCAAAACTTATCTCATGGATCATATTTCAACACATATTTTAATACAGGCTAAACCAAAATGGCTTTTGCTTTACTAAAGCTAAGATCTTAGGGAGTGTGTGCTTTTACACAGAGAATAAAGATCATTAACTTTCATCTACCACACCATTACATAGCTTATCACTGCTAGAACAATGAGAATGTTTGGGGTTCTTTGTTCCTAGAACTTCCTTCAAATATTCCGGAGTGCTACTGAAACCAGCTTGCATGTGCCCCATGTCAACATCTGACTTCAGAGGATAGCTCATTCCTGCCAATAAAAATGGAACAAAAAATGCAAAAAACAGGGATAGCTCTGAATTAACTTTGTGGATTTATTTTGAGCAAATGCAATATAGAAAGCTCCATATGTTTTAATTATTCCATCTACAAATGCCAGTGCTTCAGATTAGGTAATTCCAATCACCCAAACAAATAATAACGAGAATGATCAGGGAACTGGAGCACCTCCCATATGAAGATAGACTGAGAAAGTTCGGGCTGTTCAGCCTGGAGAAGAGAAGGCTGCGTGGACCTCATAGCAGCCTTCCAGTATTCTTTCCTGTTAGGGTGGTGAGGCACTGGAATGGGTTGCCCAGGGGGGTTGTGAATCCTCCATCCCTGGCACTGTTCAAGGCCAGGTTGGACAAGGCCTTTGGTGATATGGTTTGAGCGAGGTGTCCCTGCCCATGGCAGGGGGGTTGGAACTTGATGATCTTAAGGTCCTTTCCAACCCTAACTATTCTATGATTCTATGATTCTATGACTTTGTATGTAGCCCATAATGAAACACAAATCTGTTTTTTTTAAGAGTTTATACATTAAGCTCTCCACAACACTGATTTTTATCCATATATGCAGATAAATTTTCTATACCAATACCTTGTTTCAGTGATCTTAGCCTTTGGTTTTTTACAGCTGCACTCTCAAGATATTCACTGCCTGTTCCCTGAAGAGAAGGCCAAACTGTAGCTTTTCTGGAATACAGTTGTGTGCTGTATGGAGATCCTATAACAAAAGGAAATATCTCAGCGTTGCCTTAAAAAGCTCAAGGTCACAAAAATTCTCTTTGCCTCATACTTCAAGGCTCACACACACAATTCTATTACTTATAAAAATAGGAATTAACAGCATATTACATATTGGCTTACAAGGAGCAATGGGACATTAAACTACAGGAAAAAAAATCATCATAAAGAAAAAACAATCTAATTCCCAAAGAAATAAAGATGCTCAGAAAGAGACAGTAATATGACTTAACACATGAAGAAATAGTTACGTGTAAGAATCCCTATCCAAACTGTACAATACCTGCATGTCTAAATTCATTTATTAAATTAACCTTTGAATTCATGTCTATTTTCTTGCAGTAACTGAAGAACAGAATCCGTGTGATGCAACTTCTGGGGAACTCCTCACATTACTGCTTCAGGTACTGCAGTCAGGTTCAAAATACTGACAGTAATTCCACTTTAGATTATTAATACAGATGTGTGCTAAATGGACTAACTAGTTACTCTTCACATCACCATGAGAAGCACATACATTAAGAAACAATGTCACAAGCATCATAGTGGAAATGAAACAGCTATTTTAAATTCCATCCTTTAGGCAAGCAAAGGGATTTCAGGAAAACCATTAAGATAGAAGTACAGCATGCCTCTTCCTCAACCTAAAGCCAAATTTAAAAGTACAACATTATTTAACTTATTAGAAACAAAACAATCAGCAACACTTTGAGGTAAAGTCTTCTTTGAAACCTTCACTGGACCTATACAAAGGAAAGTAAATGGAAAAGAAAGAAACATAAAGCTCCCCCAAAAAGATAAAACCCCACATTACAACTGCAGATCTAATAATAACATTGCACTTCTAAGGTCACATAAAAAAAACCCAAACAGAACAACAGAAACAAAATCAACCAACAAATAAGAGAACTGCTTATTCTGCAAACATAGGTATCTACTGGATGGTATATAGGTGCAGGAATTCTAGATTCTTTCTGTACAGCAAGTATCAACATTTCTCCAAAAAGAAAAAGAAATTCAGAATGCTTACCATTAGAAGTGATAACATAAGAAGGAAGTAGTTTATACTGAAGAATCAAGAACTGCAACTAAACTATTAACATCAGTATTTAGTCTATAGAAGTCTAACTTCACAGGTTACAGAACAAATCTCAGACAGGTGCACCCTGCACACACCAGTAAATAATTCTAAGGAGAATAATAAGATGTTGTTTCAAGTGAACCTTCCAGTTCCTGTGTCCCACAAACCTCCTGTTCTGCAATAACAGAAGCGGAAGAAAAAATTTTGCTACTTACTACTTGGTAACTTTGAAGGCTTGGTAAAAAGTTTCTTCTTTAACTTCTGGAAGAGACAAAGAATTTTTTAAGTATTTAAAATATTCTACTCATCAAAGATTTCCGTGTATAATCTCAAAATCGGCTTCAAGCTCCATTTTGTATGAAGCTAATTTGTTTTAAAAACACAGTAAGTATATGCAGATTTGGCAACAGTCACCAGAATTAAGGTGGTGCCTACTGAGGTTTTACACTACAGACAGGAAGTAGTCTATTCATGCTCAGAACACTAAGACCTTCCCCACAGGTATTAAATAAGAGCAGCAGCAAATTCAAGATGATCACAGAGTAGAGGCTAATCTATAGAAGCATTTAGCTAAAGGAAAGCCTTACTCAATTCCATTAAAAATCTGTAAAATGATTACACAGGCCCATAACTTGATAGAACAGTAAAGTGAAGCCAAACATCACTTGCAGCCCCAAGTGCAGAGAATTCAGAAGCCAGAATTACATCTGGAATTAGAGGTTTTTGGATGAACTACATTGCAATAATATTGTTAGCTATCCCTCTGAAGGGTATCTTACCAACCAGGAGACATCACACTGATGTAAAACGTGCAAGAACATGCCAAGAGGCCTTTTAAAGCATTCATCCACAGCACTCCATTAATAAAACTCACCAATTCTGGATCCAATTCACAGGTTATCGCAGACGGGCCATCATCTCCCTGGGAAATAAGAGACATTAACTGTTACATGTGCTACTAAACAACAGGTTATAATACACACCCAGAAAACTTTGTATCCTTTTACTATCACAACAAAGTTAGAGTGCAATAAATTCAAATGGTAAATGTTTCACCACTGTTGCAAAACCCAGTATCATTTGCTCCAACACAAACATTCTGTGTGACACTGTACAAGTCACTTCAGCCTCAAGCCACAGAGACTTAACCCACTTCAGCACAGAGCATTACAACAGATGAACCTTCTGGTGCCTTATCTTCCATGATACTTGATTTGTGCGGATTTCCACTATCAGCCCACTGGTAAGAGTTAAGCAGCAACTCATCCATCTGTCCTCTTCCTCACTTACTTCTTCCTATGCTATGTTATGCTATGGGAACACTCAGTAAACTCAACTGGAGAAGTCATCAGGCTGAGGATAAAAAACCCCAAACCAAGGAATCAAAGAAGTGGTGAACTTTTCCTCAGCTTGAGCTAACAAGTTTCTCTGCTTCTCAAATACAGACATTTCCACTGCAGAAGGAAAATTGTGCTTTGCTGTCAAGTTACCTGAGTGCACGCTGCCCTCGCAAAAAAAACATCCTCACTTGGTGCTGTCTCCATTGGGCTCACAGCTGCAGCATGAGTCTTTGGAAAGATGCCGGTGTCTGTAAGAAGCAGGGCCAGGTGAAATACTTGTTGAGAACCCTGGCTGACATAACAGGGGCTCGGACTGACAGCAGCAGAGCAAGTAAACCAGCTTTTTGTGCTGGCTGAGAGCAAGCAAGTATACATCTCACACAGCATGCCACATAGTTTTTAATTTCCTGAGGCAATGTTCCTTGCAGCACACTGATTATTTCCTGTTATTTTAAGGCCTCTCACTGTGGGAGATCTCTCTACCCAACTGCAGCTATCGCATTAGGAATCAGAGAATACAGAATGTGCTCAGCCTTGACAGGAGATGGCAAACAGCACATTCACCAGGATATTAACATGCAATAACAAAAACACCAGTCCTTGGAAACCCTCACACTCCCTTTGCTTTTGGAAAGCAGGCCCAAGCACAGCCACCTACGACAGATAAGAGCACATGGTGACTCCCATTAAAGGGCCTCAAATCCTCCACCTGAAATCAAACCCTAACCACCCCCCGCGCCATCCTCCTAGTCACCGCCTCACCAGCCCGTCCAGCTTGAGGGGGCTCCAGGCTTTGTCCCGGGGCCGAGGCCGGACCCGGCCTGAGGCCTCCTCCTCCTCCTCACCCCCGCTCCTTACCAGCTCCCCCCCTCTGCGGCCTTAGCGGGCTGAGGGCAGGCGCGGCAGACCGGGCTCCCACCGCCAGCGCTTCCGGGTTGCTGAAACTATAGCAACTAGCAGCGAGACGGCGGAGCGGGAGAAAAGGGCGCCTGCGCGGAGGGACCGGGGAGGGAGGGAACGGCACCAGCGAAGGCCGCATCGCCTTGGAGCACACGCAGGCACGCCGGCTGGCCTAGGCCCTACTGCGGACTGCGAGTGCCACCAAGCGGCCCCGAGCGGCAGGAACCCCGGCAGGGTGTAGAGACAGGAGAGCTGGGACAAACGTAGAGACACGGCCCTGAGAGCAGCTCCGTGCGGGCGCTGCCTCTGGAGCACCCACGAGCCTCCTCCTGACTCCCCCGTACGCCCACAGAGGCCGACATGGTCGAAGACCACACGTGGGACGCCCTGAGCGCGTTCAGCGCAACACCCCCTTAGCCACGCCCCCCGCCCTTTGCGACACTCGCTTTGCGGCCGGTCCCTCCGGTGTCGGGATGACCATGTTCTCCCCGGAGCCCCGGTCCCTTCTCCCGGCCATGACCCGCGAGTGCTCAGTCCTGCTGCCGCGAGTCTGCGCTGCTCTGGCCCATCCCCGACAGCCCCGCTACGATGACACCTGCCTGGAGAAGCTGCTCGACTGGTTCCGGAGCCTGACGGCATCCGGTGAGTGCCCCTCGGTTGCGCTGGTCGGAGCGTGAGGGAGGCATGCAGGCCGGGACCCTGGGGCAAGCCCCTCTCAGAGGTCCTGTTCCCTTGGTGACACCGAAAGCGCTGTTTGATACCTGGGCTTGAGCTTCGGGTGAGCCCACAGTCGTCTCTTAACTGTTGTGAGGGGTTACAAGCACCTCGGAGTTACGAGGGAGGATGAAGTCCTGGTAGTCACCCTGTGTCTTCTCGCCTCTCTTTGGGCAATGCCTGGCCGCTAGATCCTAGCGTGGAGCTGGTGCAGGACAACCCCTGTCTAATGGAATTCATTGCCTCCGTGCTGGCGCTGCCAAAGCCCAGTCCGAGCATCCTCTCCTTCACCCTGCGGTTAGCTGGGATACTTGCTGCTTCTGAAAGTCGCTTCCAACACTTGCAGGTGAGTTGGCTACACAGGTACCTGCTGCCATGTGTCTCTTTCCTCTTATGTGGAGGAAAATGTACATAGTCTGCTTATATAGCTTATGGCATGCATCAAACAACTCAGCAGTGATATGATAATGAAGACTCGCTATCGTACTGTTCCTTTTCAGTTCTCATGTAAAATTGCTGGCTTCTTCTGTCTTGCCCCAGTAATACTTCACTTAACACAGAATATGGGATAACACAATCTCACAGCAGTCATTGCAAGATGTATCCCTGAATGGATTCTGTACATATTAACTGCACTGACAGATGTAGCTTTCCCTCCAGCTTTCCTCGGTTGACAGGAAACCTGATTCCCTGCAAAAATGAAGGAGTTTTTTTAAGGCCCTTCTTTCTACAATAGGATACATTTATAGTACAAAACCTAAAATGCTTTCTTCAGGGAAGAGATGCATACAATTGCATAAAGCAGTCTAATGGAACTGGTACATATGTAAGTTGTCACTAGCACCTTAAAAACAAGTGATCTTTGTTTTGAACACCTCTGTTGCTTAGTCTGTGAAAGAGACACATGTTGAGTTTAAGCATAGGCTTCTGAAAAAAATCTATTTTAGGAATACTTCTAGCAAGGAAAGGTTTCACTTAAGTACTGATACTCTTGCCTTGGATGACAGAGCAGCCTATCCACTCCCCTCAAGTCCCTTTGCTTACTAGTTGCTCTGGTCTCCTCTGGCCTCCTCAGCAGGAGAAGCTGTTGGTCCGGCTCTTTGGCAGGGATGGGCCCCTGAGCAGCTCTGCGTGGGAAGATGCCTCCGTGCGAAGTGGCTGGGTGAATGGCGTGCACAGCATGATGCAGCACCAGCCTGCTCTCCACTTCCTCTGTGAAGGTGGTGAGTGCTTCTAGGACTGCTAATCCCCAGATCCTCTGTGTTGCTTCCATTCCAGTCTGTTGCTCAGATGTCAAATAGGAAAGGAGTTTTCATTTACTTAAAAAAATAGGCCATTTGTAAAAAACACGTAAGTCACTGGAAGATAGTGGGGGTTTTGTTAAATTAGTTATGCATTTAATTTTTTTATTATTTTTTCCCCAAAATGCTATTATTTTGCCCCAAATGCTTTTTAGAGAGGAAAGAGGCAAACCTCATGAAACGTGATTAAAATAGGTTATTAAAAGTGCTCTGTATTCTTATTTGTATCTCTTATTGAAAAGGTTGGTTTCAGTTTGATTTTAGTGCAGGAAAACTAACCAGAGGCTCATTTATCTCCTAATGTTTGCACACATATGTATTCCCGTTGTTGTTATGCAGGTAAATTCTGCTGTTAACCTTAGAATCCATGCAGAGTGGCCTAAAAGACTGGACTGGTATTAACATTCAGCATGCAATTTGTCCATGTGGTGGAAAAATAGCGCATTGATGTTTCTCCTGCTGGTTGTGCCCAGAGATGGTACAGGGTCATTCCATAAATACAGAGTTGAGCATGCTGTCAACTATCCTAATACTACTAATGTTATATCAAAGCTGTATTCTGTTCCCAAGTTATTAAAACACCAGAGAATATGAAAACAATTTTACCTTCTTTTTTGTTTGTCAGTAAGGACTGGCTGACTTTGAAATGCCATAGAGACTACAAAATAAAGTATAAAATCCCACACCAACACTACTGAAAGCTGTGTGGCACTTGAATTAGAGTAGTATATAGTTAAGAGTGCAACAATGCTCCACCTCACAATAGGAAGGCTGTTGTTTTTTATCTCCAGTGACTTGTTTTGTTTTCACACAGGAGGCATAGATGTGATCTTCACTCTGCAAGGGGATCCCAGCCTGTTTGTGGCTTCAGCTGCCAGTCAGCTTCTGGTGCACATGCTCACCCTCTCTGTAGAGTCTGAAACAACTAAACCTCTCACTACAAAGGACTGTGACTGGCCAGCATGTGCCCAAATTATTATAAAGCATATAGAAGATTCCCTTCAGTCCAGCTCTGCCTCTCACATCGAGCAGTCATTAAAACTGTTAACTAGTTTGTTTGGCAGCTGTCATGCTGTGTGGACTGAAGTACTTTGGTTAAGGATAGCAAAGCAAATAGAATCCTTTCTGATGGAAGAGACTCTTCAAGTACAACACATGCTGGCAAATCTTTTGCTTAAAATGTCAAGGTAAAGATCTGGGAGCTTGGATCCAGTGGTGAGATATATCTGTTTTCCACCATCTAATAGGATATTGCTTACACTTCTTTCTTCTCAGGTCCCCTGTGTTTGACACTGAAGGCAGTTTTTGGGCACTGGTGACTTCTGCTTTAGAACACTTAACCCCAGTACAAGCAGGTCCTTTGGCAGTGAGAATTCTGAGGCTCTACAAATGGTAGGACTAGCTGCAATGAAATTTTTGGACTTTGGAAAATGTTTCTATACTAATATCTTTGGTGGTTTTCCAAGAGCAGTATTTTTCCTCACTGCATTTTCCACTACATTCCTTAATATGTAAAAGTGGTTGGCAAGAACCATGCTAGTAGCTAACTTCAGACACTGATAGTAAGAATAATACAGTTTTCAAAAAGAGGAACGAAATGTTTATGTGTATACACTTGCATCTTACCTACAGCCAGCCAATTTCTTCCTGAAGTAGGAAAAATCTTTAACTTCATACTGCCAAGGTTGACCAAGATGGACACAATTTGACTGCCTGTCAAATCCAGTAGTCTCTATTCCATTTTCTCTTTCACAAAAACACTGACTGATGTAAGAGCTTCCACTGCTGTCCAGCAGAAGTGTACATTGGAGACTGTTGACAGTTGCAGAATAACTTAGATTAGAAGGAATCTGTATAAGTTACCTTATTCAACCTCTTGCTCAGTGTAGGACAGACTTCCAAGACAGATCAGGTTGCTCAGGGCCTTCACCATTCAAATTTCAAATATCCCTGAGGCTGAGGGTTCCACGGCATCTCTGGGCAACCTGTCCCAGTGCTTAACCACTTTCATTTCACTTTGAGAAGTATTTTCTGTATATCCAGTTGGAATCTACCCTCTTGCAATTGAAGATTCATGCCTCATGTGCCCCTGAGAAGCCTGCCTCTATTTTCACTGTAATCCCCTTTTAGGGTGTAAAAAAGCATCAAGAAATCATCAGATGAATGCAGCACATATGGATACTGATTTACAGCCTAAATAACACCTGTTTTAAGATACAGGGGCATCATTTTGTTGACAAAAGATGCTTCTCTCTAAATCCCCGTCTTGCACAGAATCCCACTCTGTTTGCATAGCTTGATAAGGCTGTTTCTGAATTCCAGAGCCATTTCTCCTCTGCTTTCAGTTAGGCAGGGAATCTTGAAAGAAGGCTTGAACAGCAATAATACTGTCATTGCTTTGTCATTGCTGCCTTGTTTAAAAGCCTGTGTGGAAAAAAACCCAACATTTTGCTCAGCATTTGGGGACAGATCTGGGGAAAGAACTGAAGTGTTCCTGTTTTGGTAACTGCTGTTTCCTCCTTCAAGCCCACAAGATGTGAGGATTCAGGCACTGACTGTTCTACTTCAGCCAATGGACTGTATTTTGAGAGCAGCCTCCCAGCCTCTGGAATACGCAGGTACAGTTGTGATAAAATACTGGCAAGCACACTAGCCTCTAACTTTAAGTGCAGTGCAGACAAAACTGGAAAAGGAAGAGCAGCAGTGTTTGTAATGAAGTGCAGCATCCTACTGACAGTTGCATTTGAAAGGATATTCATACTACATCATATGAGTATCTTGTTAAAAGTCACAGTCCTTTGTATTCACTTACAACCCAAACTCTTCCCTTCTTTCATCCTCTAGGTTTGTTGGATGAGTCTGTTAGTGATCCCAT